AATAAATAAAACATTTAAAAAAAAAAAAAGAATGGAGGAGGAGAACAAGAGTCTCACTGAATCCAGCTTGCAGGCTCATTTAGCTTCACAAACTTTCTCATCGAAGCTCCCCTGTCAGCAGAGAAAGACCAAGTCCCCCTACAAAGGGTCTGGGGACATAACTCGAAGCTTTAAGCTCAAACTACTTTTGCAGTCTGCAGATTTTGCATTGTGTTGCATAGCTAAGAAAAGTCAAACTCTCCCCTCACCCAAATTTTGGCTTCAACTGGTGCTCCAAAATAATGAAGTTATCGGCTCCAGAATTTCTACGTAGGAAGGGCTTAGGGGCAGCAATCCATTTGAAAGAGACCGCCAAAGGACATCACTTAGATTTTTCTTAAGAGCCCTTGGCATAAGATTGAGAAGACGGCAGATATCTATAACAAAGAATGGAAGTAGAGGATTAATGGACCCACTCTCTGGCATTGCCAGTGGACGTATACAGACATTAACCATGTGGGTCCCGTTACCCCTGGCACCCTCTGTGGGGATTTAGCCACTGCCCCTCCACTCCAATGTCAGAAGCACAGGTCTCATGTGTGTCCCGAACATCAGGCATTTTACAAAATTACACGGTGTCCCCACATTTTGAACAGCACTGGATGTCTAACTCCTGCTGGCAATTCAAGGACAAATTCGCTTGCTTTAGAGTATAACTTCTTTTGTTCTCATAAAGAAAATAAACTCAAATCTCTGGAAAGGAACAAAGCTGCTGATATACACACAGAGAGAAGGAATGTATTAGAAGTATTTGAGGAAAAACAATCAAAGCAGTGCTGTGGGTAGCCCCCGTACTAACCAGTGTAAATGGACGGTATTCAGTGAGCACTTCCTACATAAATGCCTGTCTCTGTTCTAAGCGCCTTCCATGGACATTCACTGCTGACCATGTGGGCATGTGAGTGTGCCAGCCCAGTGCTACAATCCTTAAATCCTCCCTCCGAATTAAAAAAATAATAATAATGTTTTATTTACTTCTCAGAGAGAGAGAGACAGCGTGAGCAGGGGAGGGTCAGAGAAAGAGGGAGGCACAGAATCTGAAACAGGCTCCAGGCTCTGAGCTGGCTGTCAGCACAGAGCCCGACACGGGGCTCAAACCCACGAACCGTGAGATCATGACCTGAGCCAAAGTCGGACACTTAGCCAGCTGAGCCACCCAGGCACCCCCTCCCTCTGAATTTAAATATGCCACAGGGTATAGCCTCACTTGTGAGAACTACCCCCAGCCACCACTACAATTGCTGAAAACTCCCTTAGCTGTTCCATTCTTCCTCCCAATGTGGCTGGCCCTTGAACAAATGTCCTGACCCACTTCCAACTTCAAAGTTACTGGCTGAGCCTGTTGCTTAATAGTGACCTGTGGACATTTAGATTACCAGGCAGGTGATGTCGTTTGTACACAAAGGCAGAAGAGCCTCAATGCTCAGCTTCCCCAAAAAATTTTGATTATTTTATAAATGCTACATGCATTGAGAAAAACACTTTATATTTCCAGATAATACAACTTGTTAAAGATGACATATTCTGTAGGTGCATTACCGTTTCCTTTTTTCAATGTCTTAAATTTAATTTTAAAAATTTTTTAATATTTATTTTTGAGAGAGAGCGAGCGAGAGTGAGCATGAGCAGGGGAGGGGCAGATAAAGAGAGGGAGACACAGAATTTGAAGCAGGCTCCAGACTCAGAACTATCAGCACAGTGCCCGAATTGGGGCTCGAACTCATGAACCACAAGATAGTGACCTGAGCTGAAGTCAGATGCTTAACTGAGCCACCTAGGTGCCCCACTCTTTCTTTTATTTGCCCTGAGTTCATCTCTTCCAAGTAGCAAAAGAATCTTTTTCACGCCATTCTAAAGGTTATAAATGTGGTCATCATCAGTCTCTCATCCTTTTTCTGATTTTTAAACTAAATTTTATATATGTATCCTACTATACATATATACATAAATTTTACATATTATACATATTATACATTATATATAAGTTTATATATATATGTGTGTGTGTGTATATATATATATATATATATATATATATATTGCTGTGTGTGTGTCTGCCTTCAGGATGCCTTCATCCAAATCTTTCTACATATTATACATATATTGCTGTGTGTGTGTCTGCTTTCAGGATCCCTTCATCCAAATCTTTTTTAGTTAGTCTTTGAGGTGTGTCCAACTTGGGCCTCATCAACCGAGAACAGTGAGGCATGATATGATGCAAAATTCTTACATTTAAAGATGGAAGAGTTGATGTGGACCTAACTCCCTTACTGACTACCCATGTGGCCTTAGTAGAGTCACATAGCCTCCCAAAAATCTCATTTCTCTCACCTGTAAAATGGGGATAATAACCCTTGGTCATTCAGATAGCCAGTTACACTCACTAAGCACCCACAGCGGGGTAGGCCAGGCTCCAGGCACCCCTGACTCAGGGTGAGCAAAGCAGAGCTGGCCAGCCATATGGAGTTCAAGGTTAGGGTAGGAATAGAGCAGGCATGAATCCTTCTGAGAAAGACCTCTGAGGGGGCTGTGCAGGCATGGAAAGATTCCCTGAGATGGGGGAGTGAGCTGTGGTCTTGAGGATGAGCAGGGATTTAGTTAGGAAAAGGTAGATGGAGACCTTGTCCTGGGCCAGGAGGAATCCTGAGAGAGCCACACGGGAGGGAGTAAGGAAGGGCCAGATGAAGCAGGCCTTCCCCACCTCTGTTGGCCTCACCTCTGCATCCCTCTAGCAAGGATAGGACCATGGAAACACACGGCAACCAGCAAGCGCCCCATGATGCTGGCTCTCTTTGCCCTCCGTGTGGTGAGAACAGCCATTTTCCTCTCAGCTCCAGGGGTTGTGGGAAGGCCTTCCCTGGTGAGGAGAGCCCGCCATGCTTGGCTCTGGCTTTGGTTTCCCTCCAGGGGGAGCCGCACACAAAGCCTGCTCTGTGGGTGAGCTTCAAAGGCGAGAGCTGAGGGGAACAGAGCCTGCCAGCAACACCTCCTCATGTCAGTGCCCACCCCCACCCAAGCGTTTCTCCGAATCCTCCAGGCCCTTTAGCTTCCAGAAACAACATGGCCTTCTTCACGTGCCAAAGAAAATAACAAGGAGGTGGAAGTGGAAAGAGGAGGGAATGGAGACTTGGGGAAACCTTTCCAAGAAAAGAAATAAACTGTCTCCTCCAACTGCTGCACACCGATAGCCATCTCCGTCGGGGACTCAGCTAGAGACCAAGGGTGGAAGAATTTCAAGGCTCATAAACATCCCTCATCAGAATACCAGGAATGTCAAAGGCCCCCTAGGTTTACTCAAGCCAGAAACCAGTAGATGAAAGCACAGACCAGACAGAGGAATGGCCGCCCTATTTTCCCAGTAGACCCTATTGGCCTCAAGCTGCCCCCCACAGGCTAGCGGGCTGGCTGGAGTCAGCGACCAGCAAGCAAGAAGTGAGGCGGCCCCCTTGCTCTCCTCACCCACCAGGTAGATGCAACAACGCTGACCTCAACCATCATGGCAGACTATCGACCCTTTGTCCACATGCGTATAAAATTATGACTAAAAACTTGAAATAAATGAAAGCAAATCTATTGTTTAAGTTAACCACCCCTCAATCCAATCTAGGGTGTGAAAAAGAGATTTCTGGAGGGGCTCTGTGTTTTAGGGGGAGCCTCAGTTTCCCCTCTGTGAAATAGCCTGATCATACCTATTTGGGAGGATTTGAGGAACTTGAGAAGCTGACACAGAGAGGTGCCTGAGAAGCTTCTGAAGGAACAATACGCCTGACAGGGCCGACAACCTCTCTCCTGCCTTGGACTGGAAGGTCCATAGATTCACTGCGGACAGTGGCAACAAATGCAGCCTTTATGGGGGAATCAGAATAGCTTCATTGACACTTGCTGTGGAGCCTAACCCTGAGTGACACTTTCTGTTGTCGCACAGCCTGAGCCAGTCACCTGTGCCATCCTCCATGCTCTGCCCTTCTCCTCACTTTTTCCACACTCCTTGTCGGCTACCTTTTTCTCCTGGCATTGGGACAGAGCTGTTGAGCACCCAGTCTCCGTTCTAAGCCAAGCATGGCCCCTTCCCAGTCTCCCAGACAAGATGGTGCCCACTTCTGTCTGGGTTTGTATGGGGCTCCTCTGAAGGAGCGACAGGGCGCTGGCCTCAGGATGGAAAAGCATCATCAAAACCATAAAAGCAACAATACAATCAACTTCTCCACGTCACTCTTCCCCAGAGGAGACTGCTATGGTGATCCAAGGTCTGTCGGACTCTGGGCGATGTCGCACCAGCTCAAGCCCTCGGCACTAGATGACCAGAAGCAGTGCACAAACCAGTAGCTAGTGTTCACAACTGTTATAAGAGGACAGGGACTCAAATCAGCTTCGGATTGTGTCTGGCACGCAATCGGCATTCAATAACTATTGAATTGTTGATAACTTTCTAGGCACTACACAGCCTATATATGTTAACTCCAAATTGCATAACAGCCCTGTGTATTGGGCATATTATACCTATTTTACAGATGAGGAAACTGAGGCTTAAATGTCTGTGGACCCTGCCCAAGTCAAAAGCAGCCAAACTAGGGTTTGAGCCTGGGCTCTCAGGTTCGAAAGACTGTGCTCTTCATATCCTGTTGTCTGAAACCGAACCACTGAAGGGCTTGTTCTCTCCTTCTCCATTAGTTCCCCTCTTTCTAAGCATCAGAACTAGGCCCAGGTACTCCTAAGCTATGACTCGGTTTCTCGCCCATCATCTTCCCTCGTGTCACAAAGTCCACTGGTAAGATCCAGTCTCTTCTGGTTTTTGCAGTGGAGTAGCTAACTGGGCCCCAGCGGAACACCGCAAAGCCAGAGGCTCTTTTAACTCGCAGTCCAGGGATGGGGGTGTTAACATAACCGGAGCCTCCTTCGGGGGGCCCTTTAAAGGCCTTCCTGGAGGTGGCTGTCCCTCACGTCCCTCTCTCCTGGCATAGCCTGCGACTCCTACTGGACGTCCGTCCACCCGGAGTACTGGACCAAGCGCCACGTCTGGGAATGGCTCCAGTTCTGCTGTGACCAGTACAAGCTGGATGCCAACTGCATCTCCTTCTGCCACTTCAACGTCAGCGGCCCGCAGCTGTGCAGCATGACGCAGGAGGAGTTCATCGAGGCGGCCGGCATCTGTGGGGAGTACCTCTACCTCATCCTCCAGAACATCCGCTCGCAAGGTCAGTGTCCAGAGGGCCGGGCTTCCCGGGGACACGCCCGGGGTTGGGACCAAATGACCTGAGCCCACGATGTGCCTCACACAGCAAAATCTCACTAACAGGAACTCTCTATTCACCAAACCCCCCTTAACCCAAATCTCTCAATACGTGGAAATTCTAGTTTGCTAGAATTAGAGATTGTAGGTCAAAGGGAACAAGGTACAGGGAAGCAGGTTGAGTGTTTTTTTGTTTTTTTTTTTTTAACAAGAAAAGAAAAACTAAAAAGACATTCAGGAACCAGGCAGATACAATAAAATAATGTATTGTGTTCATTAAGATTTGCAACAATAATGATGAGAAATAATGAAATCTGGCAGTTTGTACCAATGTGGATGGAACTCGCGGGCATTATGCTAAGTGAAGTAAGTCAGGCAGAGAAGGACAGATACCATATGTTTTCACTCATATGTGAAACAGGAGAAGAAACTTAACAGAGGACCATGGGGAAGGGGGAGGGGAAAAAATAGATAAGGAAAGGGAGGGAGGCAAACCATAAGAGACTCTTAAATACTGAGAACAAACAGGGTTGAGAGGTGGGGGAGAGGGGAAAAGAGGTGACGGGCATGGAGGGGGGCACTTGTTGGAATGAGCACTGGGTGTTATATGGAAACCAACTTGACAATAAACAAAAAAAAGATTTGCAACCATAAAACATGGAAAAAGAGGTTTCTGCTTGACTTTTCATTAAGCAGAAGGAGAAGAAAATTAACTAGACCCTTTCGCTTCCCGTTTCCAGAGGATTCCGACTCACTGGCATTTCGTCATCACTTTCCTAATGGTCAAGGAGCAAACGGCCGGAAGGTGGCGCCAGTGGCATTCTTTAACATTTCAACATGTCCTGCAAGAGCAGAATGTTGAACAGGTGTTTTAAAACTGGAGAGATTTTTTTTTTTTTTTGAGAACATATAATTCTGTATCCCTATGTCACAGATAAAAGAACTAAGGTCCCAAGCGACTAAGTGACTTCTCCACGGTCACACAGCAGACAGGGTTGATTTGTGGAAAACCAATAGAACGCAAGGGTTTTGAGTTCAGAAAGACCTGTGTTCCAATCCGGACTCCAATACTTTGTAGTCACTTGCTCTCTCTGGATGTCCACTGCCTCATCGGTACATTGGGATAATAATACACCTTCACAGGTGACAGGATTCAGTGAAACATTGCCTGCAGCAGCATATAAAGATGTAAAGGCAATAAATGGCAGCTGTTTTTTGTCATTATGAATATAACCAAGGAGAAGAGTTTTTTTTAATAAAGGAAACATAGCTCAATTTTAAGAATAGACCTTTCTAAAAGTTACCACCTTTTTTTTTGCTTAAGAATACACTAAAGGTAGGAAGCTCCCCATCACTGGAGATAATCAAGCAGTCTAATAGCCCCCTGATTGATGGGGATGCTGTGGCAGGGATTCCTGTCTGGACAGAAAACCACAGAAGACCTTCCAACTCTAAGATTCTTTGCTTACTCCTTGCTCTCCCCCATCACAAGTGCCTGAGGGCAGGCAAGCTACAGATGTTGGCCCTGGGGCACTGCTCAGCTTCTGTCCTGGGAACCTTGACCCATCAGGGGTAGGGAAGGGACCGCTGTCCATTGTTGTCCAGTCTTAGCTTCTCTAGCCAGTGACAGTGGCCTGCCTGGAGCAGTGGCCTGGGCATAGAGTGGGCCCTCCCTGAAAAGGGGAAAGTGAGTAAATCACAGCAGCCCAGAGAAGAGCTCTAGGCTCCCTTCAGAACCTTCTGAGGGAACTGTTTGCATGAGAATCCCTGGGCCAGGAGAGGGAGGTGTCCTGCCAAGAGGATGCAGCTTGGCATTGCCAAAACATCATGTCAATCAAGTATGTCTGTCTTTCGGCCTCCTGCGCCATTTCCCCCTTTGACCAGCATGTAAGAGGCATCTAAATCCCCAAGGATTAGAGGCCACATCACAGATCACAGACCCTGAGAGCCGAAGGGGAACTAGCGGTAGTTTTGTCCCATGTTGCCAGTGAGGAACACCAGCCTGGAGACTGAGGGACTGGCAAGATCACACTGGGGTCAGTGACAAGGCCCAGCTCAGAGCCCAGGACCACTTGGAAAATCCTGGAGGCTGCTGGAATGCGTGGCCCTGGGGCCCTCTCCAGGAGGCCTTTAAAAACCAGGAGATTGTCATCGCCCAGGGATGGCTTCAGGGTGGCCCAGTAAGAGCCAGGTGGTCTCCAAGCTTCTTGTCCCCCCTTTTCCCCGTGCCCCGTCTCCTGGCCAGGGAAACTGGGATCCATGGACTTCCTTTTCTCTCCTAGGTTACTCCTTCTTCAACGACACGGAGGAGACCAAGGCCGCCATCAAAGACTGTAAGTAACCAAGTCCAAGCTGCTCGAGGCTGAGCTGAGGCTGCTGTTGGGCGCGGGGGCTTGCTGGCTCTTCGTTGGCCACATTGAAAAGTTGAGGACCTAAAAACAGTCACAGGCCAGGAGAAGACAGGAGGGACAAAGGTGGTGGGCAGAGCATGGGGCTTGGATTTATGGATTCCTCGTCCTCCCCCAGCCTCAGTGTCCCTATCTGTAAACTGGAGCGACCTCGCCGGGTTGCGGTGAGTTGGAGAAACAGTGCATGTGAAGGCCTGGACGTGCTGGCAACACAGATGCTCCAAGCACTGGTATCTGTGAGCAAGGATCATCGTAATTACCAACCACGGGGACTTTTAGCCGCTAATGTCTCTGAAGATATGATCTTGCTAAGTGGTTTTTAATTACAAGGCCATGGAGGACCTCCAGTAGCCCCACTCATTCTGAAAATTAACCCTCATGGTTTTACTTCTGCAGATGGCGAAGGTTTAGGAAAGGAACTTAGGAGCTTTCATTTTTTAAAGATGATGATGATGATTGCTGTTAGTTACTGAGTCCCACACAATGTCCCTGGCCTGGGAACTAGGAAGAGATATGGGTCCTGGGTCCTGGGTCCTGGGCAGGCCCCTTCCTTCCGTGGACTTTAGCCCCTTCATCCACAGAGAGAGAACAGGGCAAATGGGTACTGGTGAGGCCTCTTGAGGGGCAGACACAGACAGATGGGTTCTTATGACTTATTGTTTCTATCCTGAAAGAACCAGGGAAGACTTCCTGGAAGGCGACATATTTAGATTAAGCCTAAAGGATGAAAGTTAGCCAGGAAAAGAGGGAAGGAAAGGGTCCAGGGAATGAGTGCTAAGTGCAAAGGCCCTGAGGCAGGAAAAATGTTGAAGCCCTTGAGAAAGAATCAAAAAAAGGCTAGAAGCTCTCATACTAGGAGGCTCGATACAGTAACCACCAGCCACATGTGGCCATTAAATTTAATTAAAATTAAATAAAGTAAAAATTCAGCTGCTGAGTCACATTGGTCATATTCCAAGTGCTCAATAGCCACAGGTAGCTAGTGGCTACCACATAGGACTGCTCAGATTCCTGTCACCGTGGTAAGTTCTCTTAGACTTACAAGACCGTTGGCCACATCAGCAGAGGGAGGAGTGGCAGCAGAGGCCAAGAGCAGGGCAGGGGCAGGTCACACACAGCTCTTGAGCCTGGATTTCATTCTGAGCAGGTTGGAAAGCCACTAAAGTAGGAAGCGATAAGATCCCATCTGCATTTTAAGAAGACTCCCTGCCCCCCCCCCCCCACCTCCAGACAGCGATGTCTAGGTCAGGAAGGAACTCAGGCAGAAGGCTACTGTCCAGGGGGAGAGTGGCGGTGACAGAGGCCCAGACCAGATGATGGGGAGGGACAGAGAGAAGTTTCTGGAGGCAGAGGCGGTGGTAAGACAAGGACTTTGAGCTGTCCTCTCTGGTGCACACACCCACAGAGACAAGCACTTGGCTCTGGCAGCCACCCAGGCCTCGCCCAGTGCAGGTGCTGCCCAGCCTGCTCCAACCAGGGAGGCACAAGCTATAGACTGAACTCGGGGTCACGTGGTCTGGGGAGTACACCCAAAAACCCGCAAACCAGCACCACAGCTTGGCCAAATGGCAGCCTCCACGGCCACAGCCAGGAAACCACAGATTTCCCCAAACAGAAACCCTATGTACAGTGGAATAGGAAGAAGACCAACAGACTGACAGATCATACAAGGAGCCTGCTCTAGAAAGTCCAGGATGTATAATCACGATGTCCATGGCCCAGGTGATGTTTCATGATCTTAGACACCATCCAACCCAGAAATGAGATGTGCCAGCCACAGGCCAAGGCCTTGGCCACCCAGGACAACTGGCATCCTGGGGCCTTCAAGTAATGCTCCCCCGAGTCTTCAGTGAAGATTAACATCATTCACTGGCATCTGTGAAACACGTGCCCAAGGCAGTGCCAGGCAGAGAGCTGCCCATACTTGAGCTCATTTAATCTTCACTACAACTGCAATCAGTAGTTTAGTGACTCCCATTTGCATCTGAGGAAATCAGAAGAGCAATGACTTGCAAATAAGATGGGATTCCAATTCATTTTCTCAAAGTCTGTGCTTGTATACACTGTGCCATTCACCAGACACATACACACACTCACACACATTCACACGCACACATGCACACATACACATATGTGCACACGCCTCTAAATCCTTCTCTTCATTCTGCTGCCCCTCAGCTGAGACCCAAGGCTCCAGAATCTTCTGGGTCTGGGCCCAGCTCTGCAACAATCCAGAGAACGAGATGATTTTCAACTCAGTACCCGCTGAAGGGGCCCAGGCCCAACAAGCTCTAAAAAACTGTTGGCCTGGCCCAAGTGACACACCCCATCCCCACCACCCCCACTGCAGAAATGCCAGAAAACAAAGCCTACAGGCCTGGTTTGAGGCCGGGAGCCTCCTGTTTGGAGGCTCAGAGCCCCTCCTCATGACACGAGTGTCGGCTCTAGGCCACCACTCATGTCGTGGGGATGTGATGGTCTGGTTTTGGAAACTCTGCCTCTCCAGCCCCCATATCGCTTCTGGACTTCAGTCAACAACTGAAAATATATCCTTTGGCCACATTTTTTAAAAATTTATTTTTAACATTTATTTATTTCTGGGAGGCAGAAAGAGACAGAGCAGGAGCTGGGTTAAGGGCAGACAGAGAGGGAAACAGAATTCGAAGCAGGCTCCAGGTTCTGAGCCGTCAGCACAGAACCCAACGCGGGGCTCGAACCAACGAACAGCGGCATCATGACCCGAGCCGTAGTCAGATGATTAACCCACCGAACCACCCAGGCGCCGCTGGCCACGCTTTAAGTCTCCAGCCTCAAGGCAACCGAACCTTTCCAAATCCCAGGGACAGCAGACAACCCAGGCCACGCCCCAGGGGCCCCACACCCGGCAGAGCCGAGCGGCGGGGACACTTTCCAGAACATATATCTGAGACAAGGACAAATGTCCCCCGGAACACCACTGGCAGACAAATTCAGCGGCTCCCTGGGGGGGCTGTGGCCTCCGGCTGGCGTGGGCGGAGGTTGTGACTTGGCAACTGCCTCTGCCTCGCTTCTTAAAAGATTCAAGGAACCCAACAACAGGTCCCCTCCGTGCGGGACGCTGCGCAGCGCAGCGCCTGATGGGACAGAAGGGCAGCGGTCTTTCGTGTCGCCAGCGGCCTGCTGTCTGTCCTGCTCACCTGCCTTCGCGCCTCTCCACCTGGCAGCTGCCCCCGTGCTCGGCTGCCCTCACCCGGCACTCACACGTCTGCACGGCCCTGCCTGGGCGCACGGGCCTGTTTTTCCATCTCAGTGCAGCTCCAGGCTGTAGCATATGCAAGGGTGGAGACGAGGCCCCGGGGAGCCCGAAGGCCGAAGGCGTGCGTTCACCTAACTGTTGGTTCCAAGCCACGTGCACTGTAGCTGTGCGAGCTTAGGGCTCCGAGGTCCGGCCAGGCACATGACCCGACGGTGCCCCGCCCCCGGCCAGGCACGTGACCTGACGGTGCCCCGACCCCCAACATCCCGGGCTCGCGCCTTTCCCGCTGCAGGGAGGCTTCTGTGCTGGCTTTAATGCAAAGGGCGATTTGCTCACCGCCTTCACCACTCTTTACACACCCCCGCCCTGCCTCAGTATTCCCAGCATTCATCACCTAATTGCCCGTATTTGCTTGTTTATGATATGTTACCCACTTGGAGGTCTAAGTGGAGAGACTTGGACCTATTTGGGGCTGTGCGTCCAGCACCTCGTAGTGTGGGTGTACACTGGCTTGACACTTGTGAACAGATGAGTGAATGGCCTGCAGGGTGCTCCCTGACTCCCCTACACCTTCGTTTATTTCTGTGTCAAACGGGAATAGTAACAGAAGCTCATCACAAAGGTGGGTGAGGTGAGTGCCCAGTAATAGCAAATGCGCTACAAACTTAGCTCATAGTTACTCATGAAACAGCTGTTGAACACCTACTAGGAAAGACAAGATGAAGTAATAGCTCTGAACATCAGCTTTGGAACAGAACTGCTCTGGATTCAAGTCCTGCCTCCACCGCTCTGGATAAAATCCATAAACTCTCTGGTCTTCAATTTCTTCCTCCATAAAGTGGAAATAGCAACGGTACTACATGGGTGGTTGCAGGAAATAAATCAGATAGTTTGTGTGAAGCACTCAACAAGCACTTGGCATTTAGTAAGCGTTCCATAGTAGAGCAGAAAAGAGGCAAGATCAACCATTACAGTGGAGTGGACTAGTGCTGTAAACTAAGGCACACACAGTTGCTAGGAAACAGAGGGGATCTAACTCAGGGGTAAGTTCAGAGAAAACTTCCTGAAGAGGTCTGGAGAGTGAGAGTCAGCTGGGTGGGAAGCTATGCAAAGGCCCTGAGGCAGGAGAAAGCTAATTGGCATTGGGACTACCTAACTCAAGAGAAGGGAAGAATTTGGGGAGCAGCAAGAGAGAAGGCTAGAGAGCTAGGTGGAGGTCAGTTTGTGAAAGGCCTAACGTGGCAGCCTTCATCCTGGACACAACAGGGAGCCACTGCAGGGCGCTACGCCAGGGAGTGACATGACCCAGTGGCAGTGAGGCAGATTGCCCTGGGCAGCAGTGTGCAAGACAGGACACCGTTCCTTTCCCTGACAACATACTTATTCTTTCATCTAGTGATTAGAGCACAGTATATCTACTAGACTTACAGTACATAGGCTTAGTACAGAACTAAGTATGCTAAGTGTGCTTAATGTAGCATATGGTACAGTGGTTGCTCAGTACTACTTACTAAGCATGTGCCATAGGCCAGGCCCTGGGCTGGGTGTTGGGGGGTGGGGGGGGGGGTAATACATCTGGAAACACAAATCCCTGACTTCTGATGGGAATAGAGAGTGAACTAAATAAAAGAGGTTATACTATGTTCGATGGTGATAAATATTACGGCAAAAAAAATAAATAAGAGATTGTGGATACAGAATGCTGAGTAGAGGTAAGTGTGTGTGATACCACTGAGAAGGTGACTTTGAGCAAAGATTGAGAGGAGACCCAAACCCATGGATATCCAAGGAAAGAGCACTCAGGTCAGAGGGAGGGCAAGTGCAAAGACCCTGAGGTAGAATGTGCACATGAGTTTCTGAAAGAGCCAGGAAGCCAGTGTGGCTGGAGCAAAGTGAGAAAGGGGAGAGGTGGAGGGGGTGAGATCTGGTACCACCTTTTTTGTTTTTCTGTAAACCATATACTACTTTGAAACAAGGCTGTGCGAGGGTCTCAGTTGTTACTTACAGCATGAGTTCTAATTGAGCTCTGTATTGAGTTAATGCCTTGCTTTCTGCTATTCATCAGTTCTGGTCTCTCTGCTTCTGCTAGTGTCCCTTCCAGTCCATTCTCCACACACTACTCAGGAATTTTCGTAAAATGTGGATCTTGTCAAACTCCAAAGTCTTCACTTTACTCTTTGAATAAAACCCCAAGTCCTCACTGTGGCCTGTTGTCTACCTCTCCCCTGGGCACGCGTGCCTGCCTCACTGGTTCTCTCTCTCTCTCTCACTGGCTTTGCACATGCTGCTTCTTCCCTTTGGAACATTGTCTCACTTCCTCACATCAGCGTAGATCCCTCCTGCACACAATGCCCTCCTTGGCCACCCTATCTAAAGCAGGCACTCCCCACATTTGTTTGCTCTCTGATGTCTTGCTTCATAACACTTTAAATAGGTGGATTGTTTGACTTGTGTTTTGCCTTGCTTGTGGGTCCTTAAATTCCACATGCACAGGGACCAGGTCTGTCTTGTTTACTCCTATTCCCAGCACGGAGCGCAGAGCGTGGCACCCAGTGAGACAGAGCACAAATGCTTCCTGAAGGCAAACACCTTGCACCTACTACTTACCCCCAAAGTGCCTGGAGTGGTGTCTTCTACCACAAAGGTGTCCAATTAACAGTTGCTCATTTTGGTTTCATTTGAGTTCTGAATGATTCCTACTGCTCTAAATCATTCTATTTCAGATGCTGATACAAATTGTTTGAAAACAAGTGGCATCAAAAGTCAAGACTGTCACAGTCATAGTCGAACAAGTAAGTGTAGAGACGCCATTTCTCATTTCTAAGTTCCTGAAACCACTCATGAGGCAAAGTATTCTAATAAGCTTTCAAATGGAATGTTTGAATGGGACCAGCTGTTTTCCCAAAGAAGGTACCAGAAAAGTTCACTTTTATAAATGTCATCAAAATCACATTTCTTTTCAATTGGACACGGTGTTACAAGAATTAAAATGAGGAAAGAAAGAAATTTTCTAACCATGTTGAATTTCTGAATAAGGGTCTATTTCCCCTGGTCTACCGGGCATTCTTTTCTCTGAAGTACTCAGGGACAACGGTAGAGAAAACACCATGTGTTGGCAATTCTGTTAGTCTTTCCCAGCCCTAAAATCTACCCAGTGCAGAACCAAGTCTGTATTAAATCGTAATCCTCCAACTTCTGCTAGGAGAGAGTGATTTCACAGATAACTAGAGAGATCATGGTTACAGAGCTAGAAGAGATGAATTCAGGACCCAAGCCCAGGCGGATAGTCTCTCCAGCCGGTCTTAACCACAATAGAAAGTGGTTAAGTGGTTAAGAAAACAAGAGAAATACCAGCTTTTCATGAAAAAGCTAACTGCAGGATTGGTCTGCCCAGACAGGTGTGGTTATGGGATTTTAGTACAACCATAATGCCGGTCAGAAAGACCATTTGACTGTCATTTTATGAATTCCTAAGAAACAGTCCACAGTCCCACGGAGCAAGCACAGTGTGTGAGCCATGGTGTTTCTAGTCAGTATAAACTTGGCGTCCCTATGTATGTTTTTTCTGATTGCTTTCATAGAAGACAGACATTTCACAGCTCAGTCAGCTTCCAAGTGAGCACTAAGTCATTACTATGGAAAATAACCCCATAAAAGCAGCAGCCATTCTCATGAATTAATGAGAAACTGTATTCTCTTAGAATTAAAAAAAAAAATTAAGTTTATTTATTTTGAGAGAGAGGAAAAGAATGAGGAGGCAAGGGGCAGAGAGCTAGAGAGGGAAAGAGAGAATCCCAAGCAGGCTCTGTGCCCACAATCCTGGGATCATGACCTGAGCTGAGATCAAGAGTCAGACACTCAACCAACTAAGCCACCCACACGCCCCTTAACAACCTTTTAAGTGACTGGTTTTCTTCCTTCTCAAAAGGCCTCCAGAGTTCTCATCTGTGGGAATTTGTGCGAGACCTGCTTCTATCTCCTGAAGAAAACTGTGGCATCCTGGAATGGGAAGATAGGGAACAAGGTATTTTTCGGGTGGTAAAATCAGAAGCCCTGGCAAAGATGTGGGGACAAAGGAAGAAGAATGACAGAATGACGTATGAAAAGCTGAGCAGAGCTCTGAGGTAAGTGGATAGCATGAAAGGCCATGAGCCTTCAGGCAGAGTTCTAGAAAATGGCCAGCCACGGAGGATTAAACTGTGTTGGCAGCTTTCTCCTTGATCATTGAAAGGTCATGGGACAACACCATGGTTCTTGGTTACAGATGAGATTATGGTTTGTAAACGGACACGCCGTCCTTTGCATTCTTGGCCGCGGCCCCAGGGATCACGCCGAGTGCAGGCCGTCCCACACATACACACACAAAACACGCTTTGAACCCAGTGTGGGGAGGCTTGGTCTTCAAGACGGCTGGGAAAGGTTTAAGTGTAAGTTGATAGCAGGGTGTGAAAATACCAGGGTAACCAAAGACCAGCGTGGTCACCCAACAGGAACGAGAACAGGGTTTATATTCGGTGGTTCCCTGGGGGTGCGAGCCTCCCCACATTTCTCTTCTGCTTGCCTTTCTCAGGTACTACTACAAAACGGGAATTCTGGAGCGAGTCGACCGAAGGCTAGTGTACAAATTTGGAAAAAATGCACACGGGTGGCAGGAAGACAAGCTATGATCTGCTCGATTTTACGGATCTCTGTCTTCTCAATCAGATCGCAATAGACACTCACTGCAAAGTCTTTTTGTTGTTGTTGTTCACCTGCAAGTGAGCTGATAAAATTTCTCCACCTCTCAGCTTACGTTTGGATTCAGAGTTGTTGTTGTCTGCTGGGGGACAGTGGCAGCAGCCCTTAAGAAATTCCTTAATTCCTTTTTTTTTTTTCCTTACCCGAGGGGGAGGAGGAGGGCATGATCATTTGCAGTACCTTGATCACACATCACTTCCCTAATCAAGAGTTGCGGATGCACAGTAGCCCCGTGCTATTGGTGCCGCTCAGAGGAGAGGGTCCAGTTCTGCCACTGGAGGCTCTCCAGGGCTCCCATTCAACAGGCTCAGAAGTTTTCACATTGTTAACAGCGGCAGCTCGCAAAGGAAGAGCAGTTGGGATAGTGGGAGGGGGTGAGACGTGTGTCAGACAGACACACTGCAGATTTTAAATAGTTCGCATCAGATGCCATAGAAGAGTTTCTTAATCGATAAAGGAGCGAATCCATCAAGCTGGGACATGACTGGACTTAGCCTAGGCTTAATAGTAAGTTTCTGAACCAGAGCATCCCTGGGGCCACTCAGCAAAATTCCCATAGCCATCTTTCTAGAGCAACACACTTAAAACTAGGCACATTATTGACTCCTGCTGAGTTTATTTCCCCCTCTTCTCCTCCTGGTGGGGGGCGGCCAGGTTAGTCTATGGATACTTGCACCGATTTCCAAACCACCGGTGTTTCTGATTCAAGCTGCCAGCGCCACAAAATTGGAACTCAATCATTCCGTCTGTGGCCAAGGCGTTAAATAAACCCTTATAGAACTGGCAGTGTCCTGACAACTCTGTAAAGGCCAATTAAATGTGTAAGTCTCTTTTGTTTTGTCTTCCCGGAATGTACTCAAGCTCTAAAATATATTTCCTTGACAAAAGTAGAGTGAATTTATACCAGTAAATGTCACGGGTTCGAGTCTGCACTGGCATCTTCTCATTACTCGCCAGTGGGGAAGCCATGAGTGACCTACAACGAGGTGGCTGTCCCTAGGGCTGCTACTCCGCCAGAGCAGGGATCTCCATGTGACCAGGCACTGAACCACCGTACAGGCTGAGGACCTCCTTGCGTAGAGTTTAACTTCAAAAGCAACGTGCTTTAAAAAAAATGTGAATTACTGTAAAATAATCTATTTTTGGATTCATGTGTTTTCCAGGTGGATATAGTTTGTAAACAATGTGAATAAAATATTTAAGGTGTTAAAGTGTCTCTGTATTGTTAAATTCTGCAAGGCAGACTCAGCAAAACATTAGCGACCTGTGAAAACTTTGATGACACTTGCATCTCTTAACAGTTTGGACGTGTAAAGAGCCCCAGAAGATGCAAGAAATATATGCAGTGACCCTGCCCACCACCTCTACATCCTAAACAGAGGTTCCTGGGGCCTACAGATATGTTTCTGTTTGGTATCCATTTGTGTGTGTGCATGCGCGTGGGTACACACACACTTTTTGTTTGTTTGTTTTGAGGTTTTGTTGTTTCTCATTCTGAATTAGTTACCTTATCTAAAAATCAAGGGGTTGACATAAAAATCCAGGTTTTCAGCTCCTTTTAAAACCTCAGATCCCGCAACCCTAGTTTCCTAATGCTTTGTGGGATTGGAGCTAAGTAGAAACTGCCCCTTTGGGCAGAGCATCTGGTCAGCACTTCATACCTCTTTCCGGACATTCAGCTATGTTCTCACACTATTGTGGTTTTATTTCCATACATCCAGAATGCTTGTACATTTTGAACTTGAGACCTCCGTCCTAGCCATCTGAAGAGGTAAGTGCCATGTCAATGGATGGGATCAGAGTCCACAGTCCCACTGAAAGAAGACATTGTCCAGAAAATTGGGAATTTGCTGATGGGAGAGAACTGGGAACTTTCTGGCAGAGAATTTGGCAGAAGGAGAATGAAGAAGCTAAGGTGGGGGTCAGAGAGGGGGTGGAGGGGAAGAGGGGAGGGGTGAGGAGTAACACACTACCTAAGAGATACTGCCCCAGCCCTGGAGGGGGGCCTCAAGCAATTCACAGAACAAAATAATTTATCCCTCTGCCACTCAGATTTTCCCTTTACAAAACCATTCACCAGCATCCTCTTTGCATTAGTTTTCTAGAGCTGCCCAGGACACATTCCCACATTTGGTGGCTTATAACAGGAGGGATGTATTGTCTCCCAGTTCTGGAGGTTGGAAGTCTGAAATCAAGGTGTTGGCTGAGCCACGCACCCTCCCTAGGCTCTAGGAAAGAATCCTTCCTTGCCTCTTTCTGCTTCTGGAGGCTCCAGGCCTCCTTGGCTTATGACTCTAAGATTCCAATCTCTGCCTCCACCTGCAAGTGGCTTGCCCCTCCATCTGGCCTTTAGTCTCTTAGAATACTCATCATTGGACTTGGGAACCATCTGGATAATCCAGGGTGATCATATCTTGAGACCCTTAATTTAATGACATCTGCAAAAACTCTTTTCCAAATAAGGTCACCTTCACAGCTTCAGGAGGCTGGGACACGGGCAAATCCACATGAGGACTTCATTCAACCCACTATACTCTAAAACTTTACCTAAACATAGAGCTTCATGATACAAGTCATTAAAGAACGGAAAATATGAAAAGCTGCTTAAAATACCACACTTCAGGCAAATGGTACCAGAGCAGGGGGAAAAAAAAAACCAACTAAAAACAACAATGCAAAATTCACTTATCAAAGAGTCAAGTGAGGAAGAAGTGTTTCCTTTATAAAAGACCATAATAGAGCTTTCTATAGAAAACTTTCAGTATATTTGTGACTGCTTAAAATTATCCAGAATTTTAAAAGTATACAGAACTTTTTGTGTTCGCCTCTCCTAACCTTTCATGCTGTTAAAAGCTCTGATAAGGATTTTAAAGCCTTCAATTTGTCTTATCAGCTCATATAAAGTGGAATTTGGCCATCTGTTTTGTGGCCAGGAACTTGCCCACTTTTCTCCCAGAAAAGCACGTGCTAAGTTCTTACAGCTCACTTCCTATGTAGATAAATTGGAGTGATGCTCATTTGTCAGGGAAATACAAGATGAATCTGTTTTTAGGCCAAAATTCTGACACTGAATTTAAAAAGAGCAAGGAGATCCTTCCCAGAGCTTAACAGCCCAGAGTGAGTGCTCCTTTCAGAAAAGCAAGTCATCAATTTTAAAATACTGGGAGCCGATCTTCAGGCAGCATTGTGCCAGAGCTGAAGGGAAAATGCCCTTTAAGGTGAGGATGTGAGAAATGAAAAGGACGTGTCCACACAAAAGCAGGTACGCAAAACGAGCACAGCAGCATTATTCCAGAACAGCCGGCAAGTGGAGGTGCCCACATGTCTGTCTGTCAGCTGATGAACGGGTAAATAAAACACAGCACATCCATACCGTGGAATATTATTTGGCAATAAAAGGAAATGAAGCACGGGTACACGCTGCAACATGTAAGAACCTTGAAAACACGATGCCGAGGAAAGAAGCCACTCACAAAGGCCATGTGTCATAGGCCTCCATTTAAATCAAATGTGCAGAGCAGCCAGTCTTTACACAGCAGGTAGACTGGTGATGGCCAAGGGTTGGGGCAGGGTGAGCAACTGCTAATGGTACAGGGTTTTGGGGGCTCCTGAGGGGGGTCACAAAAATGTCCTAAAATCAATTATAATTATACAACTCAATGTATATACTACAAACCACTGAATTATATACTTTAATTGCCTGAATTTTAGGGTATGTAAATTATATCTCAAAAAAGCTATTATCTTTTTAAAAAGGTTCCAATGACCCACTGCATCAAATACTAAGAGACCATGTGAGAGAAGGAATGAGAATGGACCATTGGATTTTGGTTTTCATTGTGGTAAAATATATGTAAACACAAAACTTAATGATTTAATCATTTAAGTGCCCGATTCGGTGGCATTAAATATATTCACAGTACTGTGTAACCATCACCACCATCCATCTCCAGAACTTTCTCCTGTTCCCAAACTGAAACTCTGTAACCATTAAACACTAACTCCCCATTTTTCCCTCCCCCAGCCTGGGAACCACCATCACACTCTAGGTCTCAATGGAGCTGACTCCTCTTGGGGACCTCATATAAGTAGATTGATATCACATTTGTCCTGCATCTGGCTTATTTCTCTTGCATCATCCCTTCAAAGGTCATCCATGTTGTAGCATGTATTAGGATTTCCTTCCTTTTTAAACCTGACTAATATTCCATTGCCTGGATATGCCAAATTTTGTTTATTCATTCATCCATCAATGGAAACTTGGGTTTTTCCCACCTTTGGGACACTGTGAATATCGCTATGAACACATGGTGTAAACATGATCTTTTCAAGTCCCTGCTTTCACTTCTTTGGGGTACATACCCAGAAGTGGCATTGCTGGATGGGACCACTGGATTTTAGCAGCATGGAAGCCACTGGTGACGCTGGCAAGGGCAGCCTGATTGGAGTAGGTTCAAGAGAGGAAGAAGACAGAGGGGATAGCGAGGAAAGACAAATCTTTTTAAGGTATTTTTCCATAAGGAGAGCTGCAATGACAGGAGAGCCCTCTGAGGGCAAGAGAGGATTTAAGATTTAGAGCAGCAGGCTTGCATGCTCACAGGGGTGATATACGAGAGGGCAGGGAGAATCCAGAGCAGGAGGGAGGGCATGCGGTCAGTGCACAAGAGGGGTCTGGTCTTCAGTAGGAGCAGAGCTCATCTCTGTCAACAGAAAGGAAAGAAGAGCATGTGGATGTCGATGCTGGCAGTTTGGAAGATTCTGGTGGAGGAAAAGATAAGGAAGTTATTCCATCATTGGTGAAATAAGGAGCCGAGAGGAAGAGGGAAAGGAAAGGACAAATGGGAGGAGGGAAAGATAGATTTCCAGGCAGTGCTGAGGGCCACGTGAGGTTTGGGGTCATATTTTAAAAAGCCCAAGCAACAGGGCTGTGTTTTGCTCTGGTCATGGTCATTTCCAGTGCAGGAACTGAATCACTGAGAGGTCCCCCTTACAAAAGCTGGGTTCTGGAATAATTATCATTTAGAACTATATAAAATTTAAACGGAGTAAGAAGGGAAGTTAGGACATGAAGAGGGTGATGATCATTAAGAAGTGATGAAACATCCTAGGAGTGTTGCGGAACTTAATGGGAAGGGAAGTCTATGGTAAATTAATGTTCAGATATAGTCACACACACACACAATCACCTCCATGGGTGGAGTACAATTCCTCACTCTTGAACTTTGGACTTAGCCATGTGACTTGCTTTGGCTAATGAAATATCAGTGGGCATGACACAAACAAAGGCTTCAAAACCCCTGTGCAATTGGGATTTTTCTCTTGCAACCTCAATTCCAGAGAAAGGAAAAAGAGGTTTCCTTTTCTTGGATTCTTACACTTCTGCCATCACTATGGGCTAGCCATGACCATGCGTCCCAGAAGGATGAGACGTGTGACACAGAGTCACATCTCCAAGATGCCTCAGCTGAGCCCAGACTAGATCAGCTGACTAAACACATAGGTGATACGTGACTTAATTATCAATCTCTAGATAACTAAACACATAGGTGATACGTGACTTAAGTCACTGAGTTTTGAGGTGGTTTGTTACAACCTGACCAAGACAAGGTCCTGGGGGAGCTGAGCTGGAAAGATGTAGTGGTCAAGGTCAAATATTTTGAATAATCACCATACAACCCTAGGGAGATAGGAACAATTATTGATTCCACTTAGAGATGAGGGAACTAACGCTCAAAGAGGTGAAGGAACTTTACTCAAATACCCACAGGTGGATAACACGCCATCCCTCACCAGTTTTATTCACCTGATAAATTTGGCTCAGAAACTCTAAGGATGTATCTTAATGTCACTTAAAAGGAATACAACTAGATACTACTTCCAAGGAAGGAAAACCTAACTGGGGAGGTTACCCTCAACAATATTTATCTTTGAAAATTACAATAAGTGGTCTCCAGAGAAAAACTGGAGACACTTCCAGGTGTCAGATTTTTATATATAGGAAACATGTTAAATACATGTTATTTTCACTACTGACTGACTTATTTCTAGATGACAGAATAAACCAAAACAGGAAATATCTCAAAAACTTCATCTCTGTGCTTATAACCAATACTCAAATCAACTCCTTCCCCGTTGTCAAATTATAATTTTTATGGCTTAATCTTATATAGTAAAGATATATTTATCATTTAGGCACTATAGAAAGAACTGTAGTGAGGTCACCATACTGAAAGTGTTCACCACTGGATACATATGGTTACTTTTACATTCCAAGTTGACAAAGTTAAGTTTCTAAGCACACACAGGAGGAATTTAGGGAGGAGAGATTTGACAGGAGGGTTAAAGAAGTTTGAACTACAAGACTGAAAGTTTGTATCTACCAGTGGTGGAATGGTTTCCTGAAGCCCAAGATGTCAGGGAATTCCTGAGAGTAGAGTACAAACTGGTTTTGAAGATCTGAGATGAAGGGAAGAAGCGTTTTCAAAGAAAACAGGTTTTCACGGAGTACTTTAAAGCATTCCACTTGATTTTCGGTATGAGAGGCAAAGATGAGTCAAAGAAAAACAGAAAGGAAAGATAAGGAAGTGAGCTCATGGACAAGACATCTCAGCAATTTTCAAAGTTGAGAAATTTGCTATTTTTCTTACAGAAAAAAAGTCCTGGTCCCCAGTGTCTCAGAAAGCTACTGGTTTAAGCAAATACTGATAGCATCCTTGTGATATTGGTTTATTTTCAATTTTAAGGGTAAGCATCTGATAACACACGATATTCAGATTAAGAGTCCAAATTCCAGAAAGAGCTGAAAGAAATCAAATTACATTCTTCTATTCTTATGTACAGATTATTTTATTGCAAAAATGTAACAATTACAAATCAGTCTGTTGTAAAATCAATGCTATATTAGCATAAGTGTAATTCCAAGTTTTAAAAAGTCTGAGCGATTCCAAGCAGAAATAAGCATTAATCTGTGACGTCACTGAAGTTATTGTCAAAAAACATCAATGCATTAAATGTGTTTTTCCTATAGGGAACTGAGAAAAATTAAAACTTCTGAGCAGATTATCTTTTCTTATATAATCATAGACATATTTTTAGTTAATAAGGCCACAAGATAATATGTAAACACACTGATTTCAGCAAGATTTTTTTATTATCAAATAAAATCGTCTTTGATTCCAGTCATCTTAAGTGAAGAATCCAAATGCCAAAGCAAATACATTTTCTTTAAAAAGGCTGGTTAAGCCCTGACCCTCACCTCCTTCTAGGGGAACAGCATTAAAAGCCATTGCTGCATTAGCTGTTACAGAAACCTGGATTAGCATTTTAAAGACATGAGCTTGCCTTCGCGCACCCAGCACAGGAGAACCTTCTATCCAGCCAAGAGTGGACACCATGCTTTGCTTCACAGGTGGAGAGCCACCTTGGCAAGACCAGGGCCCTGACTCTCACAGATTCGCTTTCTCCCTGGCAGCCAAGTGAGACCCATGCTGCATAAAGGTGTGAATCGCGTTCTGTTCAAAAAGAACAAGGCCAGCAGGTTAATTCAGTCCCTCAGCAGCAGCTTGGTTGGTATTCGTCTTTGCTTTAATTTGTACTCACATTAAAGTAATAACACTTGGGGATTCATTTATCTAAACTACCTTATATAGTCCAGAGGTAAAATGAAGACTATGCGCTTTGCAATTGAGTTCTTTACATAGCAAATGAGTGCCTGAGCAGCTTGAGAAATTTAATAGTTGGTCCTGAGAAGAATCATCGTAAAAGGAGACCAAACCGTGCCTCATCTAATCCAGGACACCCTTCCTCCCCCACAACCAGGGGGCGCTGGGCTCACCTTAGGTTTCTCAGCATTGTATTTGTCCAGAAGAGCCTGGATGCGGGCCCCATAGTCGGGATGGACATCACTAAAGTTCTTGACCTGAAACCAAATGAAAACGATGTAGATATTACCCGAGCCCCCTATCAGGCCATTCGCCAGTGTCCATTTCACAGTGTTTACCCGGTAGGGGAAGAAGGAAGGCACAATCACACAGGGTCTGGAGAAACACGGGGTAAGATTTCCAAGGAAAACCCTGGCACATAATGGCTGAGAAACCTTGGATAAGTCATTCCTCTGAGCTTCCGTGCCTACTCCCCGTAAAATGAGCGAGATAAGTAAGCTCACCTCACAGAACAGTACAAGAAAAACACACAAGGTGAGCTGCACTAACGACATGTGATGAACCGACCTCAGGATGGCTCAACAAGTTACACTGACTGGTGTACAGAAATGGGCCCAGACACCGCCTGAATTTTAAGTGAGGTACACAGAGACACTGGCACCTGCTGGGTGAGTCCACATACCTCAGGCAGGAATTCCTGACCATGGGCTGATCCTGAGCAGACAGAGGGAGGCGGGGCATTGGGAACCCACAGGAAGCCTCGCGGCTTCAGCGCACAGGAGAGAAGGATGCCAAGTAGCCCAGTTCTGCTACTTCCACACTGTCTCACTCGTTCTCGCCAGTAAGAGGAGCTAAGACCCACACTCCCTTATCTCATAGAGCAAGTGTCCAGCTCTCTGCTGCAGGTGGCAATAAACAAATAGTGCCTCAGGAATTTCAAGGGTTATTTTTCATACACGTACTTGTGAAAAACAGTTAGAGACACAGAATTTGCCTCCAGAGAAAGTGCCCAGCCTGCTGGTACTTGTCTCCAGGCCTTTGAACACATCCCAGAGAGCTACTGGCCCAGCTGCCCCTTTGAACAGAGAAGCAGCAGCCACGAGGCATGGAAACAGTGGGGTTGCCTAAATTTACGTGAAGCTTAGCCCTGAGGTCAGACAGAAAACTGCCACGTGAGAAGGCTCCACGCAGCACAGTGAGCTGCCATCAGAAATATCCAGGCACCTCTGCTCAGAAGTTCAGCCTGAGTTTTGGAAGCAACTCACTTCTCCCCAGAGAGCATGCAAGTTTCTAGTTGCTTCTGAAGGTGGGTCAAGTGATACCCAGACAGGCTTCATGATATAAAGTTGCAATCTAAAAAAAAAACATACATTTTTTTTTTTTTTAAGTTCATTTTTTTATTTTGAGAGAGAGAGAGCAAGTGCACAAGTGGGGGAAGGGCAGAAAGAAGGAGAGACAGAATCCCAAGTAGGCTCTGCACCATCAGCACAGAGCCCAATGCAGGGCTCAAAGTCACAAAATATGAGATCGTGACCTGAGCCAAGATCAAGAGTCGGACGCTCAACCGACTGCACCATCCAGGCACCCCTATATTTCTTATCTTCTAAAGTCTAAGCAAAATTGTGGCAGGACTCACATTTTTATATTGGGCAGTACTGTCTTCCATAGAACATGGGTGCAGTCAATAAAGAGCATAAAAGAGAATTCACCCTGTAAATGATTACACAACTGCACAAAGTGCTAATGGATCAATGGATACACCATATGCACCGGAGATAAAGCACAGAGAAAAGGATCAGAGGTTGGTTGGAGATTAGTACTGATTTTTTTTTTTAAGTCCAATTAGCTCAAGTAAAATAGAAAGGACACTTCCCTTTAAGGGTTCTCTCACACAGCTGCACTCTCTTCTCCAGCCAGTAGATGTCACCCATCAGCTTACAAAGCGTCACTCACCGCTTTCTTCTGGATGAAAAGTTGTGCGTCTTTCAGATGGCCAGCAATGTTCTCACACAGGCGTTTCCTCTCCTCTTCATTCAGTACCTTCGTATAGAAGGCCCGCACCTGCTCAGTGAAAATGCACAGTGCAGAGAATTAAATAACCAGTTTATCATGAACAAAACTCACCTGATGTGCCACGTTTGAAATGAAAAAGATTTTAGAATTTAAGGATAATTTAAATTCTAGTTAAAACTGTTGTTTGTGTGGTGTTCTTCACTTTGTTTTAAGCAAAACAGAAAGAATTCAGTTGATCAGAGCCCACAACTCTTTCTTCATAATGTCGTGTTTAGTCAGCGTTTATAAATCTTTTATAAACAGAAGACCGTATAGTCTACAATTAAGAATCCCACCACACCTTAACATTGCCAAGTCAGAGTGGGCAAGTGGTCATCAGATGGAAAGTCAGCACAATACAACCTTTGTTCAATTCACCCAGAACCACAGAGGGAAAACTCTCAATCATTAATATAATATGCTTAGATTTCAGAAGCCAAGCTTTCTTGGAGAAGACACGGGGTCCCTGGGTGGCTCAGTCAGTTGAGCACCTGACTCTTGATTTCAGCTCAGGTTGTGATCTCAGGGTCATGAGACTGAGCCCCGCACTGGGATTCTGTCTCTGCCTCTCTCTCTGCTCCTCTCTGTACTCTCTCTCGCTCTCTCTAAAATAAATAAAATGAAAAAACTTTTTTTAAAGAAGATACAAGTTAATAACAATATTTTGTTTATATTGTTGAGCTCACCTCTAAAATGAATATCAATAGATTAAAATGGAAAATTGGAGCTTAGAATTGGTATAGGAGCCCTAACGGACTTGCTCATTTCTGAAACCAACCATTTCAAGGTAATAGTTATGAGTTTATTCTACTATTTCATTCATTCAATCAACCAATACTTATTTATTGAGTACCTATAATGTACCAAGCACTGTTCTATGTATTTTCTATGAATGTTTATAAAGTCCAAAATATCAAATTCATAAAACTCAAAATGTTCATAATTTTTCTAAGTATGTTATGAAATATTGAGCCATAAAAACATTTTTTAAAAATTTGAACAAAATTTACATTTGATACCAAAGTTTAAAAATCCAACTTTGGTATGATGACATCCAATCACAGTACTGCATTTTGGGGACTTTTCTCAGATCTCTCCCTCAATTCACTAATTCTCTCTTTAGCTATATCTAACATATTGTTTAATCATCAACTGAGTCCCTATATCCATTAAATTTTTATTTGAAAAACTGTACTTTTTGTTTCTAAAAATATCTGTGGTTCTTTCTTAAATCTATTTGTTTTTGTTTTCTCACATCCTATTCTTATCTTGTAAATCATATTGCTTTCTGTATCTCCTTTAATACTGTATATGTGCCTATTTTAGAGCCCTTTTAGATTATTCTATCATGTGTATGATTCTTCCGTCCATCGCATGTGCAGTTTCTCAGGGTGCTGGATTTCCCTACATGTATTGTAATTTCTCCCTGTGACTCATATTCAACAAGAGTTTTCTGCAGAACCAACAACCGTATCTAAATTATGAAGGTGTCTTGTGATTTTTTTCACCATCTCTGCAGAGGCCTAGCAGGGTTCACTGACCCATTATTTCTCAGTTCAGGGCTTCTAGATGATTCTAAGTGGAACAAGAATACAGAGACCTCACCTGAGAGGAGAGGAGCGGAAGAGAGGGACCCCCAATTCCTCAGGAAATCTAGAGCCCACATGCTTTCAAGCTGCAGCCTCAGTCTGGTGGGTAGTTTTTCCAATGGAGTGCGGGTTCCCGGCTCTCATCATGTCAAGAGCTCAGTTCTAGCTCTCTGCAACACAAGGGGCCTGAAGCCTAAACTCCTAGCCTCTTAGAGTCAAAATAGGGTCTGGTTACTCACCATGACACATATACCTTCAATGTCCACACACTGTTGTGATTCCAAGAGATTTAATTTTGTTAGCTCTACTGCTTTTTAAAAAAAATTTTAAATCTAACATGTCTGTGTGTGATGAGCGTCCCATCAATCACCAACAAACTAAAAGGGATTCGGTCTTGCAATTTCAGTAGTGTGCTGGGGCCCACTTGCTCATGAGAGCAGGTGGTCATCTTTTTAGGAATTTTGTGAACTATTAACCAGAGCCGTTATTAAAAATTCAATTATATAAACTTACAATTAAGTAAATTATAAACAAAAATAATCAACTCCCAAAATATATGCTTTCATAATTAATACGTATTACCTATGCTCATGAGGTTATTTGTGGCTACTGTATCTCTACGGTGGAAATACTGAACATCATGTCATTATATACACATCTCTATGTATACATATACGTGCCTTTCAAATAAAGGTATCTCCAAAGTGAATTAATTCATGCACTTAAATATCTTTTATTTGGAAACCACATTTATAAATCAAAAAACTAGATAGAAGTTCTATTCTAATTTAAATGTTAAGTTTAACACCAGCTACCCAGAGTTCTTAAGGCAACTAGACTCTTAATTTAATTCTTTTCTTGTGTAAGGTATAAGCTGTATCAGACACATTAATGAGGAGGCTGCTCTTCAAAGTCAAAGGATCTCTTGCAGTGCATCCACAGAGAGAACGGCTCTTCGGCAGCCATAGGGGATTGGAAAGAGGATGGGTACTTCACCCAGGGCAGTCAACCAGAGGCTGGCCAAAGGCCAGTCATGCAAGCTGAGTGAAAAGATCAACCAAATGAATCTGACTTCCTCTCTCCAGAAACTGATAAATAAGTATTAAGAGAGAAAGAGAGTGAAAAATGGTAAAAAAAAAAAAAGTGCTAACATGGGGAAAGAAGCCATAAAGAAGAGTTAGGCCATGGTCACAGCAAGCCACAGCAATGTTAAAACAGAAGCTAGGAGGTGGTGAAGAGAAACTCTGGAGGATATGGTGAGAATAAGAAATCAGTCCTAGAAAACAGAAGGTGACAGGTGGAGAGCAGTGGAGTAACATGAACGGAGGGCCCTACAGTAGAAACACACACACATTTGCTACCGAGGCTTCTAGAGCTGTTGTGAATCAAGTTCCAGCCCCTTCAATCTGGGCTGTCCTACTAGCTTCTTAAATGTGGTCGTACTTAAGCCTTATTTGCCCATTTCTTACATTCCTATGTGTTGCTGCTTTCCCAATGGCCCCTAGCTATATAATCCCTTCAATAAAATTTTGAGGAGCTGAAATTGAGTCTCCATACCTCGTAGTGAAGGAGCACAGTAACATAGCTCTTCAACTTCATCTAATAAAGGGACTGATTCATCATTAGAGATGTCTTCCATGAATTCGACTTAAGCTATATCAGACACTTCAGGAGGGGAAACATATGCAGACACTAACAAGGAAACTGATCTAAGGACTCTCCTGGCTGACGAAGAAGTCATTACCTGAGTGACATTGTCTTCGTTGGCACTGTTGAAGCGCTGCACGTCCGGAGAACACCGGCTGCTATGTTCGATGGCATAACGCTGCTCTTGGGGAGCACTAAAGCTATTGGGGTAATAATTTGGAGCACCACCTTCAAAAGAAAACCATACGGGTTCACTTAAGGAGATGAAAACTGAAGTAAGTCTGCAAACAGTCAACATAATAAGACATAATTCAAGGGTCAATTTACACATACGTGTATATACACAGGGCACATGCACGCATATATACACATACAACGCATATACATGCCACATTCATGCTATTTTTAAGGTCTTCTGCTTAGCTACAGGCAGGACTCAGGTTCTTAGAGAATAATGCCACCTTCCAAATGCTCCCATGGGCAGGCTCACTCTGGGTCTTACTGAAGAGATTGCCAGTTTGCTTGAACACTTCAAGGGGTCTGACCTTTACAATCCTCTGATGCTCACCAGGATGAATACATTCATACAGGTTTAATCTGGCCCCCGTAGGGGATGAGACCCATAAACACATTTCAAATCTGAGAATTTCATTTGGGCTTGAGCTCAATTCAAACACCAAATCACAGAATTTTTTAGAGCAACTGAAAGTTGCTCTGCTCCTTCAATCTACAGACATATAAACTGGGCCCTGAGCTATTAACTGCCTGCCACAAGGTCACGTGATAGTGGCAGAGCTGGGGTCTGCGATCCTTTTTGTTCCTTCCACTGCACCATCTTCCCATTCCAGAGCTCAACTTCACTCTTCCTTCAAGGTTTTTAAGATTCCCTGAGTCTCTTTCCTTTACTGACTATGACTTTATTCAGCTCTAGCTTCACTTTCACTTCCCTCCATAGATGAATAAAAAAGGATTTTGAAAAACATTTGATATTTCAGGTATGGCAGCACTCATTTATCTGGACTTCTAGAAAAAATAATAATAAAATGCAATCAAAACATTTTTTATAACTTCTGGAATAAATGAAAAGGTTTTTTTTTTTTTCCATTTTGGCATATTTATTTTCCTAACAGCTTTGACTCGTATTAGCTGAAGCTTGAATTATCTGAGCACAGGCTGCCTAAATAGGAGTGGCCTAGAAACATATTAAGTGTTTTGAAGAAACCAGTCTGAGCTTGGAATTTTAACCAGCTCACTGCCAGAATAGATTATCCAGAGTGAATAATCAAGAGGCATGACACTGATCAAGGTACCAAGTGCATGTAGGAAGAAGAAAGGCACCATACTATTATGGAGCCCAATTATTAGCCCTGGGAATTCATTCTATGCCAGCCTCATCCATATCAAAGGCGATGTGCTCCGACAACCAGCCCAGCTGCCACAGTGGTCTTCTGCACTGAGAATTAGCTCTTTGAAATGCGCCCATTTGGATGATTTTAAAATTGTATTTCCAAATAAGTTCTGACCTTTACTCAAAGTGGGAGTTATCTTCAAATCTTTGACTACTGGGAACAATTAAGCTCTTTCATCACACCTCAAGAGCACAACCCAAAGGCTTGGCTTTTCAAACTGGGCAAAGGGTGTGTCAAAATGTATCCTTAAGTAGTTTTTTCATACATATGCCATTATAATGGTAAACAAGAATGATAAACATGAAACAGGTACTAATTAATGAGGTTCTGAAACCTACATGAACCTCTCTGATACACACAGTCTCAATAACAAAAGGACTGAGGAATATGAAAGAAAATAATCACTTTAGAATAAAAATACAGAAGACAGACACAGGAAGTAGCAATTACTTTGGATAATAACACACCCCATTAGCCGTATAAACCTCAGAAGGCAGAAGTATTGCAAATGCCTGATATAATCAGTTAGTGAGCAAGTAAACTTGTTAAATACACAGAAAAGGCTTAGTCATGATGATAACAAATGCAAGGCACTAAATCATATAAACAAAACAATCTTAAGCATATAAAAAATAGTCACAGAAAAAAATACAGCCGGATATAGAGCAAAATGCAATAGTTGTAGCCTCTGAGTGTTGGGGCCATACGTGGGTTTTTCTTCTCTCTTCTCTTCTTTCTCTTATATTTTCTAAATTTTCTTTAGGACACAATGTATTATTATTGTCATAGAAAAGTCAACGTTGAATATAGCCATGTATGTCTATAAATATTTAGTAGTAAAATTTCTGAAGGGATCAATGTAAGCACCCTATTACTAAAATAAATGTATCCTAAGTAGAAAACAAAAATAAAATTAAAATCTATATTAAACTAGAAAATATTATAAGGAAAAAACATTAATCAAACACTAACTAATTAGAACAAGTAGTCACAAATAGAGGCTGTTGGTACATGGCACCAAAAACAGTAGTTAAAAGGAAAAAAAATCGTAAATTCGATAAATAAGCTCAAGACAAAATGATGCACTACAGTGTCACCTCACCAGTTGATTTACGTGAATTCAGCTGCATTCAGTTAGTAAAAAAAGGTGAGGGAGAATCCCTGGACTTACTCTGTGTCCCTTATCTAACCTGCCCCGTCTGCTCTATACTCTTAGCTACATTTGCTCCTCCAGGGCCCCAGCAAAGTATGAAGAGAAACAAGAAACACGAGCTCTCAGCTTTTGCACTTCCAAGAGTCTAAGTCCTAGTGAATTAAGAAACTGTCCACTTTGTGAAGGCTAAATTGAATGCTACTCAAGGAGAGCCAGTGTGGGAAGGAGTTTTCGCCCTGCCTTTCCCTATCAGATGGACAGCAAGTACAAATGTGAGATGGGAACTGTCAATAAAACCTATCACACAGATAAAGTATACAGATAAACTTCCCTTGCTTCATAGAGCAGAAGGTCCCCTGGGTCCTCTTCACAGAGCAGGACTCTGCAAACCCCCGGCCCGGCATGGCGCCCCCTGCCCTCTCCCTGCTCCGCGGGGCCCTCTGCTGTCCCCCGCTGAGCCGGATGTCTTAGGCCTACCCTGATTGTCCAGCATGCACATGGGGCCGTCACGCTGGTAGTTGGCCACTCGAGCACGGAAAGGACAGTTCACGGGTATCTGAAGATAGTTGGGCCCCAGGCGGTGGCGGTGGGTGTCAGGATAGGCAAAAAGGCGGCCCTACAGTTATAAGTGAAACAGGCATTGGCTGTGTGCGGTAACAAACAAACAAACAAACCAGAACGGTCTATAAACTTCATTCTAAACTCTGTAGCACAAAGCACTCAGTACGGGGTTACTATAAAGCCCTGCTTATCCCCTGAAGACAGCAACGTTTCTGCTCTTATGAAATGAGTTCTTCCTAAATGAACAGTCTTTCATCTTCCTCGTCACACAGCCGAACGACTTACAAATCTTCACACCTGTTCTAGGTAAGCACTCCTTTGTCTTTTCTCAAATAACAAGTTAGTGTCCTGTCTTATACCGCTTCCTACTCTCAGAGACATATCACATCGTAGCCAACTAACTGGAGTCCCACTAACTGGAATTTATGTCCTTCTCACTGTGATCTGGGTTACCACTATGGATGACCCTGGAAAATTTATTAACGTGACCTTGTTGAAAGGTAACTGAAGACACTGTCCGGCACCATACAACTACCACTACCCTTGGACACTGATTAGTTCTCATTAGAGTAATTTCAAAGTCCTCCTCAATGGCTCCCCGCTTCCCGCCCCTCCTCCAGCATTATCGTCCTACGCACTCCTGCCACAGGAATTGGCCTAAGGCCCCACACAGATTACATTACTTACCTACTCAAAAATCCTTAAACGTTTCCCCCTGGTCACCAAGCAGCTAATGACGTATTACAGTCCCTCCCTGCTGCATGGTCCCTCGCATGCTCCAAAGCATTAGAACTCACAGCCAATGACTTAAGTTGTGGAAAAGGGGCACCTGGGTGGCTCAGTCAGTTAAGGCTCCAGTCATGATCTCACAGTTTCTGGGTTTGGGCCCCGCGTTGGGTTCTGTGCTGACAGCTCAGAGCCTGGAGCCTGCTTTAGATTCTGAGTCTCCCTCTCTCTCTGCCCCTTCCCCGCTCATGCTCTGACTCTCTCTATCTCAAAAATAAATAAAACATTAAAAAAAAAAGAAGTTGTGGAAAAATTGGGCTAGGGACTGCACCTACTAAATAAAACCCTCTCACTTTCTAAACACACTTTTAAACAGAGATATAAAGACAGCACGTTAAAATATAAAATGCATGTTTGCCACAACCACAGTACTGATAGAAATTATATGACTCATCCCTATAATTCAATTCACTCATGTAATTGAATGGTTTGCATTTATCATCTTTTCTCAGGACTCCCTTCCTGACAGTTTCAATGAAATGGCTTAGACATTTGCTTTTTATTGTTGCAGAGAACATGTATTTGATCTGTGGTCCCTTTCCCTGGGCCGAGGCCTCCAGCCAATGCTTCAACGCTCTTCTAACCAGATGAGTCAGTGTTGTCAACTGTCTCCCTGTCTCACTGTGGTCCCAGAGATCCATGGTGACCCGGATTGTGAAAAGAATTTCAATATTTGTTCTTCAGCCTGTTTCCTCAATACCAGGGTTACGCAGTCTAAGCTCTACCCATTGCCAAGGTCATGCCTTGGCAAATCCCAGTAACCTCCTTCACATGGTCCAGCCCCCTGCCCGCCCCCAGGGAGTGGAGGTGAGGGGCCCAGGGTCATGCTGTCTTGGCTTCCTTTCCTCTCCATTTTCAACACAGGCACTTCTGCCTGTCGTCTGTAATCCGCGTGGCCTGCCTTCTCTCTTCCCTAACCCCTAGGTCTCTCCTGCTCTGTGTGTCACCAGCTGGAGCGACGCTACCTGATCGCAGATCACGTTTCTCAAAACTGAAGAAACCTTCTTTTCCTAAATGGGATAGCTGTACAAACTTCTACTTAAGCACTGAAGTCCCCTCTGACATATGCTCAATGGACCCAATCCTACATCTTCTACTTCAGGAAAAAGTGACTGTTTACAGTTTTAATACACCCACCACGGTCCACCATTGTACCTATACTCAGGTCTCTCTCCTGCCCCATTTTATTTCTGTTGAAAACTGAAATCCTATCCATCCTTCAAAAGCTATCTCAAATGCTACTTCGTTCTCAAAACTTTGTCATCATCCTCCTAACAGACAAGATTTCTCCTGATTCACAAGGCATTCTGCTATATATTATAGTTGTTATTTTGTGTCTTTATATCTGCTGTAGCAGCTGGGGCAGTCTGCTACACACAAAGGTATTCAATTCGTAGCAGTTAAATTGAAATGAAAGCTAACAAAAAACTTATTTGCTATAAAAGTCTCAGATGTTCCCAATGTCAAATCAAACAAGATGCTATTAAAAAAAAAAACAAAAAAAAACAGGGTATCTCAGCTTGTCTCCATGGAGAGAGACACGTGAACTGGACTTGGATGTTTATGTAAGAAGCAATCACCTGTCACTATGGTCTGATCTAGGGTAATGATCTTTAACCTCGGTATCATGGTCAGAGTCCAAAAACACAAGAGATTGATTTACTTAGTAATTATCAGGCCAATTATTTTCCTACTGATTTCTGCCCCCTAAAAGATTATTGATTTACTCACTAATTATTAGGCCAATTATTTTCCTACTGATTTCTGGCCCCTCAAAAAATTATTTTTCCCTATTTGTACTTTTTTTTTCAATGTTTATTTACTCTTAAGGGGTGTGAAGAGGCACAGAGAGAGGCAGAGAGAGAATCCCAAGCAGGCTTCAAGCTGTCAGGGCAAAGCCTGAAGTGGGGCTCGATCCCATGAACTTAGAGATCATGACAGGAGCCAAAATCAAGAGTCGGATGCTTAACCAAGTGAGCCACCCAGGTACCCCTACTCTTTCTACTCTTGAAAGAGCAGAGTGGAAGGTGATTTAAAAATAAATAGTGAACGAGTAGGAACATTACTGAGACAAATGGTTAAATTAACCCACTGCCATCAATCTATGGCAACATACATTTAGTTCATAAAAACCATCTTCATTCTCCTTTTACAGATGGAAAAAATCATGCATCGCCATGGGAGAAGAAATGAATCAAGTTATACCGACCAAGGTGTTATAATCAGGAAACAATATTCCCTCCCATCAGTTACAGATGGAACAGAGAGTTCTTTACTCTACAGATACCTGAGGCATTTCTAATGTAACTTCTAAATTAAGAGACTAAATGTCAAAGTCTGAACGCGCTGAAGGACTTTACTATGAAATCTGCTTTATACTGTAATACTGTAATCTAAGAATGCTTCAGTCAGACCCACAGGAACTAAGGAAACTAAGGACTTAGATGAAAATTTAAGTGATGTTTTAGTTAATTCTTCATATAAAAGTTATGGCCACATTACACCGTGTGTGTGTGTGTGTGTACATGCATGTATACATGTATGCTCCTGGCTGGGAACATCTCAACCCACTGGGTTTACCTGAAGCATTTTGTCAGGGCTGGGCTCGATGCCAGGTGGCATGTTGCTTGGGTCAAACGCCATCTGTTCAACCTCAGCGAAGTAATTCACTGGATTCCGGTTTAAGACCAGTTTACCAACTGGGATAAGAGGATAGTCCTTGTGAGGCCAAACCTAAAATTAAATGTCATATTCACAATTACCAGGCAACCAACTACAGCCAATTAAAGTACTCATTAAAAGTATCAGCCTTCTAAGATAATGAAGTCAACGATAACAAGTGATAACAGCAATTTTTTAATCCAACAAAATGAAATGAACTTAAACTGAGTGCACTGGCTGATTCTTTCACAACAGTTAACGGTTAATATTGACATCTACCCCGGGCAAAAGTACATCAACTTTTCGAGATCTGTTCCCTGCTAAAAACAATGTATCAAGCCACCTATGTGAATTCAATGAACTCCACAATGGGAACTAGAAGTGAGATGCACAGATTAAAGAACTCCAAAGCGGTGCCGTTTTGTACCTGACTTCTCTATCATTATGAACGCTTGACCGGAATCTGTAAAATTAGGTACAAAGAGACTTAAAAAAGAAAACAATTTGGTTGTCAACGGACTCACCTTGGTGACATCAAATGGATTAAATGGAAAGGCTTCTGCCTCACTGAACTTCATGACCTGGATGTAAAAAGTCCAGGAGGGGTAGTTGCCTGTGGCAATGGCATTGAAAAGGTCCCGGAGGCCGTAGTCAGGATCTTCCTGGGAAAGTCTTGCTGCATCTTCAACAGAAAGGTTTTTGATGCCCTGGTCAGTCTGCAGAAGGAGACAAAGAAGCTCGCACCGAAACATACTGGCAAAGTTACGGAACTTGAATCAGTTACACATTGAAGAGGATGAGTAATGCTACCCAACACTGGACTTTCCTTGTGACAAGTCCACCGTTCAACTCTGACCCAAATATGAATTGATCAACAAGAAATTCTACTTGGTTATCCTGATTCTTTTAAACGTGCAGGGAATCTGTATACACATTTCATATTTAAAATTAGTTCTCTCTTTCCCTTTCTGTACCCTGCATTATTTGAATTTAACTCTTAACATATAGTGGACTTTCAACTTCTCACCTATAATAAGAATGTTGTGATACTGTCTTCAAAAAGCCAAACTTTTTGGTGTAACATAAACATAACATAAAATGTACCATTTTAAAGTGTCCAATTCAGGGGTGCCTAAGCGTCTGACTTTGGCTCAGGTCATGATCTCATAGTTCGTGGGTTCGAGCCCCGCATCAGCCTCTGTACTGACAGCTAGCTCAGAGCCTGGAGCCTGCTTCAGAGTCTATATCTCCCTCTCTCTCTGACCCTCCTCTGCTCATGCTATCTCTCTCTCTCTCTCAGAAATAAATAAAACATTAAAAAAAATTTTTAATAAAAAATAAATAAAGTGTCCAATTCAGTAGATTTTTTTTGAGTATATACCTCAAAATAAAGTTGCCAGGTCATATGGTAATTCTATGTTTGATTTCTTGAGGAACGTCCAAATTGTTTTCCAGAGTGGCTATTATTTGAATTGTTATGCTCATGTTACTTTTCAAATCAGGAAAAAAGAGCAAAATATTTTTTAAATAAGCAAAAAGTTAATAAAAGGACTATCCTCTTTTTGCCTAAAGTAATTTTTAACTCCCTGCTTTATAACAGCTCAAATCAGTTACTGAGATTGTGCTTAGCTAGCATCCCTCCACTTCTACTTCCTTTTTTTTAAAAGAAATCATAGAATCATGGTTCATAGAGCTGAAAAGAACTTCAGCAGAGTCACTCTGAACCGATTCTTTATGAGCAGGCAAAATTAGTATTCCAGCTTCCCAAGCAAGCCACTAAGACCCATGTAAGTTAGTCACTGTCACCCATGATTCTATTATCACACCACGCTGCTCCTTCAATAGATTTCCACTTATATCTTATTCTTCAAGATTCCCACAAGCCAAGCATCAAAAGATTTCCTCAGCAACGTCAACTCTGAAACTCTACCACAGAAATCTTAAGTCTCTCTAACCAGTGGCAAGATCTTTACTCTTCTTACTCTCAGACCAGAAGACAATCACCTTCCAGATTTAAAAACGGAGGTCATCATCTGCAGATCACCCAGAGAGCAAATGCATTACAGTGTGCAATAATATTGCAATACTTTTCTGACTTTAACTGAATTCACTTGGGGTTAGAAAAGACTAATCATAGGTCAGAATAATCCAGATCTATATATCCAAGTAGGTCTCAGGCTATCCCAGGGCCTCTGCTGAACAAACCCATAAGCAATCCAATGCTTCCAAGATCATGGACAGTTACTATTATTATCCCAATTTTACAGTGACAAAGCTGGAGCACAGAGAACTTTCAATAATATGAGAGCAAGTCACAGTTATCTAGAAGAGGGAAGATTTGAATTCAGACTAGTCTCACTGCAAAGCGACCAACACGCGGAAACACCAGACACAGTCACTCAGTCCTGCTCTCAGTGGCTCTACACTGTTCCCTTTGGCACCGACAAGCCCATGGGTCAACTGTTTCTTAAAACTGTTCCCTGCCAAAGATTATAGATCCAAGTTATAAGTATAAAGAGGGGAGACAGTCTTCCTGTTTGATAGACCTACATAAGTTGTTCAGATAAAGATTAAAACCGGTCAGAAGGAAACAACACATCTTGGGATAGATACCCTTAAAAGGGAGACTATATTTGTCCTGAGTCCACTTCTGTCTGTGCTTATTTTAGCAGCAGTATTTGGAATCATGTTCTTAGGCAACCAGAGGTTTTTTAAATAACCTTCTAGAGTTCTCTGAGAATACTGCTTGTTGTAACAAATGCCAAGATCATAGTAAGAGAGAGCCATTTAAAACACTTCAGTTAATTTAAATGTTCTCAAAGCTTCCCCTGAAGGTAACTTATTTCATATGGTTATATAAAGGAAATGAAAAAAACAGAACTTTTATTTTCTTACGTTTGTAACTGATTTTACTTTTTTCCCGGTTCAAAATATACCCTTGATAAGTGCTGAATAAATGGATGTATGAGTTAAAAAGTTAGAAGAAATGTTTCTGGAAAGACAGCACCAGACATTGAAAGTAATGGTGAGACTGGTATTACAGCCAGGAATGCCCCGTTTCTGCCTCTGTCCCCTCCTGGACCACAAAAGGTATCTATGCTCAAAACGATGACTCAGGGGTACAAAAGGCAAAGCAACATAACACTTCACTGTTTGCTAAAGCTTGACTCCTGAACTCCAGCAAAGAAGTCTAGAAAGCCAGGCTAAATGTGCTAGAAAACTCCTTTCATACCGCCTGAAGGCCTGTATTATCTCCTTACATTTGAGCCCAAGCCAAAACCTTAGGTCTTCTCTCTCCGGGAAGAATGGATATGCACCTGGCAGCCCCAGAAACATTAAACCAGAGAACCAGCAGGGAAGGAGCATTTTCCCAAATATTTACACATTGCTCCCAGGACTCAGAAGGAGAAGAAAGCTTGACCATGGCCAGCAGCTGTGTGTTCCTACCCTCTGGCCACATGGAAAGAGGGGACCAAAGAGAGCCCATGTGGTTCCCCTAACTGGGTAGCACACCCCTGCTCATTTGGGTGGAGCCAGCAGAAGAGTCATGGTCCTGGGCAACTGGATCAATACTTCTCAGCCTTCGGAGTGGACGTCAGGGAAAAGTGGGAGGGGCCTTGACCTCTGCCCAACTTTTAAGAGAAGTAAGGAGACATGGGTGGTGGGGAACTTTGTCCCTTCTTCCCCAAAGGCAACACGTACCTTATAATGGAATTTGCAATAAACTGCCTCTCCACTCGCATTAACCAGCTTGAAAGTATGTGATCCATATCCATTCATGTGTCTGTGTCCATCTGGAATCCCTCGATCACTGAACAAGAAGGAAACCTAAGGAACAGAAAAGTAAATAAAGCCTAAAATTTTTCAGTTTCAATCAAAACATCCTAGATTCTTAAGACATTCCTAAGTTTCTAAAAAACCTCTTAATGACATAGAACACACTAACCAAGTACCTACAGGAAAGGTTATCGTTAGTATCACGTATACAGAATAACAAGAATTTCAAAGCAGAATGATACATAAATCATTAGCCTTATGGCTCAAAATTCTATAAAGAAAAGCAAAAACGAATCTGAAAACTAACTTGTTGTTCGAAATCTATTTTAACAGTAAACATGTTTGGTACCACTTTTCCCTTCTTTCCCTGATACAAAGAGCTTTACATCATACTGAAGACTTTAATCCTTAATGTTGTTAAATATCAATTGATAATGCTTCTAGCATCATTGAAGGTCTTTGAATGGGGGAAGATTAACAAACACAGATTGTAAAACTCTTCAAGATCAAGCAATCTGAGGAAGCCTCCCCAAAAGAAAGTCAGAAACCAAGTTCAATGAGAGAGCCAACACTGGAGAAATGCCTTACGAGGCATAATTAACAGGTCTCTCAAGGGTGACATGTTCTAATACAGTGGAAAAGAAGAGCTCCCACCTGATGCAGAGACTCGGGGCGCAGGCTCCAGAAGTCCCAGACCATGTCCGGATCCTTCAGGTGCGTTTGAGGGTTTCTCTTTTGACTGTGGATAAAGGACGGAAACTAAAAACAGAAAAAGAGAAAAAAATCCAAAAATTAAGCTTAGAGGAATTAAGGTGTCTTATATTATACACTGCCTATTGTGAGGTATATGGATTAGAATTCTGAATAGTATAATCCCAGAATTTCACACTGACAAACCCTAAAATGAAATTTACCTGCTACATGTTCCCAGGACAAAGTGCCTCTTTTTATTAATCTTCCAGGCTCTACATGGAAAACTGGACAATACCCACTAAGTCAGTGAATCTTGAACTGAAAACCAACGGTAATTGTTATTTGATCTTAAAGAAAGATACTAAATACAGAAAAATGGGCCTCATTTTTTAAATGTTTACTAATATCTTTGAAGGAGAGAGAGACAGAGTGTGAGCAAGGGAGGGGCAGAGAGAGAGGGAGACACAGAATCCAAAGCAGGCTCCAGGCTCTGAGCTGTCAGCACAGAGCACAGCGTGGGGCCAGAACCCACGAACCACAAGAGCATGACCTGAGCCGGAGTCAGAGGCTCAACCGACTGAGCCACCCAGGCGCCCCAGAAAAATGTGCTTTAAAAGGTAATCCGACCAACCCAAATTCTCTTCTTTCTGCTTTTCCCAAGGCCTCTCCTCAAAGGACGGTCAAAACAGAACACTGTATGAAATCAATTTAAATCAACAGACATTTGTAGAGTGCGAGATGCTTTATCACCTACCAGTATGGCATCCCTGATGAAAAATATGGGAGTGTTATTTCCAACAAGATCCCAATTACCATCCTCTGTGTAAAATTTCACTGCAAACCCTCGAGGATCACGAACTGTGTCGGCTGAGCCCGACTCTCCAGCTAGAAGGTTCAAATGGGAAAAATTAGGCCTAAGACAGAGTACCTGGCAACCAAGAAGCTTAAAGTCATAAAAAAAAATACTAGGAGCTATGCTTTCCAACCCACTTCCTAGAAGGAAATAAGTTACTTAAGTGCCTGGGCTATTACTTCTACTACCTGCCAGCTAATTCAGTCTACAAATTAAACAAAAGAATTAATTGAGATTAAGAAGAGAGTACATAACTGTAAAAGCTGGAAAGACTATCCATTTAACATAAGCTAGATTTGTTCAAACAGATAATTAAAATTTTAATTAAAATAAAGGAGGAAAATAATTATAAAGAGTAAGGTGGTAAACAAATCAGTGAGTTGTCAAAATTATGAGGTTTGTGTTAAGAAAATGAGTTAAAATATAGATTCTTATTCTTCATGTCATTTATTTTTGCATCCACAGTTATTTTAAAAATGCACAGAGACTAAGACAGAAACAGAATTATTCATGCACGCGGTGTGTTCAGATGCAGTTGACAGATCTAATTCTTACTAGCGCTACTGAAAAAATCATTTAACCACTGGAAATAGAAATAACCCCACCCTGCAAAGTAGATCTACAGATGAGATTACAGATAATGTCTGTAAAGTGCCCAACCATGGATGGCACGGAGTTAATTCCCAAAAAAGGGTAGCTATTGTGGTTACTGAATAAGCTTCCCACTCCACGTTTCCATCTGAGGCAACCACTTGTGGGAAAGTTCTTTCCAAATGTCACAGAATTGCAGAGGTGGCCTCTGCCTAAGTGTGATTTCCTAAGACCTCAACAAACAGACTTAAAAGTAACTTCCTGCATGTCTTGAAATATTCTTTCTACTGTAAAACCTGGTATAATATGGAGAAGTGGGTTTTTTTTTTCTATCTTCTAATATACTTCTTTCGAAATGAAGTTATAAATGCCCCCAAATAAGGGACAGGGTTGAGTTACACAGTGCCGGTCAAGCAAACTAATGAACTTACCCACAGTGGAGAATCGAACCGCAATGGGAGTCCTCTTTCCAATATGCTCAAACACCTTGGCTTTGCAGTATTTGGTAATGTCATGCGTGACCTCGAAGTAGCCAAAAGCTCCTAATGAGAAAGACACAGAAACCCTTATCGTGAGACCATCACAGACCCTTGGGTCCCCAATAGGCAGCTAGGTGACAAGAGAGGCTGATGGTTTGGCCCTGGCCTTCTGGGAGCTTCCGAGATGACGGGAGAAGGGGAGACAGATGTCCAAACACAAAATGATGGGGGCAGGACGCAAAGCCCTTTTATCACTCAGTAGTAACCCAAGCGCTACACAGCTGGGGCTGAGAAGAAGGAGAGATGAGTAGGGGTGGAAGTAGCGGGTCAAGCCTGACCCAAGGACACAGGGCCTGAGGCGGCCTTGAAGTACAGATAGGACCCAGGAGAGGAAGGGAAGAACAGGGAGAAGAGGAGAAAACACAGGCAAAGAAAGAATAGAAAAAACACAAATAGGACCCCACAGGCCAAACAACAAACTGAAGAGCATACCAAAGTCATGATGGAAAAGCCACACAGAAAAAGCTGAAGGGGACGGAAGAAATAAAAAAAAAAAAAAAAAAAAAAACCAGAAAGTTCTAACTGGGAGTGCAAGCAAGCAGCTAGGAGGAAAGCTTGTTCTTGCTTTCCATCAAGCTTTCTTGTCCAACTGAGGAAGATTACTTTCATTTTTAGCAAGATGAAGCATTTTACATAAAGTGTTCAAGCCAGAGAATTAACCACCATTTAATGACTAGCTCCTCTCCTGACGGACATTTTTTTCCCTTTCTCCCTAGAATGGAGCTTTGTTGCTTCTATTAAAGGGTAGCCCCAATCCTGTGAAAAGTAAATTATAACCCAGGTGTTATGAAATTATCCTTTCACAGCAAATAAACACAGCTCTCACCTGCGCCTTTAGCATGCACGACTCTCTCAGGAATTCGTTCCCGGTCAAAGTGAGCCATTTCATCAGTGAAAACCACATCCTGAACAAGAAGGGGCCCCCGGGGCCCTGCCGTAATAACATTCAGTTTGTCTCCAACTGGATTGCCGGCCCCAGTGGTCAGGACGTCAGGTTTCTAAAGTGAACAAAAACAAAAGAACACAACAGTGTGCAGGAGAGTCAGTACAATACACTGCAAGAGGGCACGCCGCTTTCCAAATTTCTATACCTTCTGCTCCAGCTCTTTTTAAATTTTCTGTGTCCAAAGTGCTGAAAGCCTACAAGATATGCCATTGCCTGAAATGTATAGGCCAGTCTCAGAAACTCTTGAAAAATCTCAACACCAATCTGCTAAGAAATGCGCTCTGGGGGCACCTGGGTGGCTCAGTCAGTTAAGCGTACAACTTCGGCTCAGGTCATCACAGTTCATGGGTTCGAGCCCTGTGTCAGGCTCTGTGCTGACAGCTCAGAGCCTAGAGCCTGTCTTCACATTCTGTGTCCCCCTCTCTCTCTGACCCGCCCCTACTCATGCTGTCTCTATCTTGCTCTCAAAAATAAATAAAACATTAAAAAAAAAAAAAGAAGAAGAAGAAAAGAAATCTGCTCTGAAGAGCAGGAAGATGGCTCACCACCCTGCCACCTCGCTCCGCCGCTGCTCTGGATACAGCCACCAGTGGGCTCGAAACCCCCAGATGGGGATCCCCCTGAAGGGATCATACGTGCTTAACACTGAATGTCCAAAATGATAGTGAGAAGACAGTCTCCGGGGAAGCCATGCTGGTTAATGCCTGCAGAGGCTTCACGACTGTTCCAGAAGCCAAAGTGCAGCCAAAGTCCTGCAAGGCGCACTCATTTCTCTCAAGCAGCACACACCAGGCCCCTGCAATATCTCCTTTCAATTCCAAAACAAAAAAAACCCAAAAAGTCAATGGCTTTTATTGTCACTGAAAATAAACTGCTCCTGGTCAGATTACAGTATGAATTTGCTAAAGATGTCAAAGGTCCCTGAAATGGGATAGGTTATTTCACTGTAATAAAGAATTCATTTTAATCCACTCAATTCCCCAATTATCAGTTACATCAGAAGCCTCTCAGCTGCCCCTTCTCTGGGATGGGACCAGTAGTACGTTCTAAGTAGTGATACAGCTCTTAGCATCATCTTGCTTCATGGTCATACCCTCTGCTCTTGACCAGAGACAACTGTCTCTCTACTGTCTTTCCTCCCTGGCAGCTGGGAAACCAGGGGAGATGTGTGGGTGAAGCAGAGCTAAGCCACCTCCATTCTGGGAGAACAAGTCAAAAAGGTCTAGGGATGGAAGTTCACAGTACCAGCTTCACGTGCCCCGAAAAGCACTATGCACAGAATTTTCACAAGACTGAAGTAGAGTGTGTAACTTTTATTCTCAAGGCACAGCTGCTCTGAGTATTAAAATAAAGTCACTACCTGTCTCTTCTCTAGAAGGAGATAAGAGAGGAGAGGGGTCACTTTAAAAACTATAAAAATACCACGAGCTCTCTGGGAAAATGCACTGAATAAGGGAGACCTTGGAATCTGCAGAATTAATAAACAAGACCCATACACACACTAGGATAACCCCCCACCCCCGCCCACTTTTAGTCACACGGAAATGGGAAGAGCCCAACATGGAGCCATGGAGAAACTATGAGCCCTGGGTCCAACTTCCAGTTCTGTGTATGTACTAGCCTATCACCTACTATTTCTGAGTCTCACCTTTTCATCTGTAAAATGGGCAAGAAACAACTACCTCCTAAAGTTAACAAATGCATGAATTAAAAGTGCTAAGTTCAGGGGCACCTGGGTGGCTCAGTCGGTTAAGCATCCGACTTCAGCTCAGGTCATGATCCCATGGTTCATGAGTTCGAGCCCCACATCGGGCTCTGTGCTGACAGCCAGCTCAGAGCCTGGAGCCTATTTCCAGTTCTGTGTCTCCCTCTCTCTCTGACCCTTCCCTGCTCCTGCTGTCTCTCTCTCTCTCAGAAATAAATAAAACATTTTTAAAAATTTTTTTAAAAAGTGCTAAGTTCATACCAAATGAGGGCTCACACAACACATACACATGCTAACATTTTGCTGGCTGTGTGAAAGTGATCTGATAGAAGAAGCAAAGCATTTTAGGTTTCTTGTTCTAACAACCACGACACATGTGTAGGCATCCATTCAGACTCTCTCACCGGACCCTTTCCCCCTTCCAGTTGCAAACTCTCCCAAATGTAAGAAAATTTAAGAGTCTAATCAGCAGATACCACCCAATCATGCCACTCTTTTTGAAGATACACATGTACTAATACATGGGATACTAGATACTTTTTTTTTATCATTTAAAGTAGAGGGGCAGTTGGGTGGCTCAGTTGGTTAGGCATCTGGTCATGATCCCACAGTTTGCGGGTTCAAGCCCCACGTCAAGCTCTGTGCTGACAGCTCAGAGCCTGGAGCCTGCTTCAGATTCTGTGTCTCTCTCTTTCTCTCTGCCCCTCCCCTGCTCATGCTATGTTTCTCTCAAAAATGAATAAATGTTAAAAAAAAATTTTTTAAAGGAAAAAAAATAAAGTAGAAACTGAGGAGAGCCTGGGTCGTTCAGTTGGTTAAGCATCTGACTCTTGATCTCTGCTCAGGTCATGATCTCATCATTCATGGTATTGAGTCCCATGTCAAGCTGTGGGCTGACAGCACGGAGCCTGTTTAGGATTCTCTCTCTCTCTCTCTCTCTCTCTCTCTCTCTCCCCCTCTCCCTCTCTCTCTTTCAAATAAACTTTAAAAGAAAAGTAGAAAATGAATCAGAAAAAGGAAGAGAGAAATTGTACAACTTCACCTTTAGTTTAAACCTAAGTCCTTGATTTTCAACTATGGCTGTCACTGGAATCACCTGTGGAGTTGTTGTTATTGTTGTTTTTGGTTTCGTTTTAGAGACTGAGTGCGAGCGGGGAAGACGGGCAGAGGGAGAGAATCGTAAGCCTTAAGCAGGCTCCATGCTCAGCACAGAGCCCACCACAGGGCTCCAGCCCACGAGCCTGAGATCATGGGATCGTGACCTGAGCCAAAATCAAGAGTCAGACACTCAACCAACTAAGCCACCCAGGCGCTCCACCTGGGAAGATTTTTAATGCATACTGATAGTGGGCTCATCTACCTGGAGATTTCTGATACACTTAGTCTGCATGAGGCCTGGGCATCAGGATTGTTTTGAGCTCCCCAGGTGATTCCTAAGTGAAGCCAAGATTAAGAACCACTGACTTAAAGCTTTGGGATGATCTACAATTAAAATAATGAAAGAGTCTGAGCAAATAATTTGTCCACACCTTCCCGTGCTCTTTTTGACAGACATAGCACTAAAGGAAATCTAAATCTATAAATAAATAGAGGAGACATCGCATAAAGGAGAAAAGTACGACAGGAGATACCAAGAAGCTCCGGAAAAGGAAAGGTAAACAGGTCGGAGTGTCATGTATAGCCCTCCGTCATTCATGGAAGTGATAAAACCACATCACATGTCCCCTCCTGCAGACCAGGTCAGAGTGATGTGGTCAAGAATAAAAACCATGCCCAGAGGAGCACATGCACAGTAAGGTGGATGAATCAATGGCTGAGTAAAGAACTGAAGAACGAGACGGCCTCACCTGATGGCCTGGATTCACAGAAACTTGGGAGCAGGAATGCTTGGGAGCGGGAATGTTGGAATTTTCCCGCCCTTCCGCCTCCCTCCCACCCAGTGCAGGAATGTCCTGCACAACACCAATCAAGCTAAGAAATGAAACCTGGCTGTCTAAGTTACAAACGTAGCATCCAGCCTCTCTTCTTTGCTCTAACATATCAACGGTCCTAATTTTTAACAGCTTTCCTCACATACACTAATGTACTTGTCATCTGCCTTCAAAATGTGACAGAAAAAGCTTCCAGTGGGTCAGCAATACAGCAGGGAGGCCGAAGGGAGGGCAAAGACTAGAAGAAAAAGATCCTCAACTTCAGGGGCTTGTTTAGGGCAACATTAGATGGAAGAAACCGACCTGAACAAAAGAGAAGAGGGCATTTATTAGAAGGTGAGGAGAAGGATGCCATGTATTTGCTGAGATGAAAAGAGTTAATGCAATGAAGCTGTACTAAATAAAATGAGGAGTGGGGCTGGGGAATGGACCATGGAAAGCAAATTTTTAAAAAATAACTTCTGAAAAAAAGTACAAGACTTTAGAGAAATTTCTAAGATAACAATAGCTCAGTGTGAGCTGAGGTCTTGCCTCAAAGGTCTTCTTTTCTCACCTTTATGGTATGAGTAAGCAAAAATGGACATTCAGAAACGAAGGCAAAAAGGGAAGAAAATGCATCTGCTTGCCTCAAGGGGTGCTATATTCCAATTATGACTCCAAAAATACTACCAAGTAAGCAAGTGAATCAGCTCCCTAGCTTCCCTTTCCTACTCTCTAGGAATATTTAGAGTCAGGAAGAAAGTGTACATTAAGATTTGGACTAAATTCACCCACCAACTTTCCAGAAATGTTTACAGAGCGCCTACTATGAGTTAGGTGCTAGGGATTCCAACAGCAAACATCAACATCCCTGCTCTCATGAAGCTTTCATATGCTACGGGGGGATGGGGGGGGGGAGGGCTAAGTGTTATATTATTTACAGCAGCAAAAGCCTACAGATAGCTTAACTATCTTAAATATCCAAAAATAGAGGAACAGTTCATAAATAATGGCATATCCATAAAATGAAATATTATGCCATCATTAAGAATTTCACCCACGGAAAAAATTTAATTAACAACGAAACTACCATAGCGTTTAAGCGATATAATTATAGGTGATTTTAATTTTCTTCAGATTTCTTTTTTTTTTTTTAAGATTGATACACCAAAAATATGGCCACTAAACAATGACCAAAGCGGGGGGGCAGGGTGGAGGAACATGTATGTGCCCATGACCATGACCGTGAGGGAGCTAGACTCTGAAGAGGGACAGGGTGAGACAGAGCATGAGGGACAACACCATCCTCTCACAAGGAAGAGAAAAGGCCGCGACAGAGAAAGAACACGAGGAGGAGGGAAGAAACAGAAGGCTGTCATGGACTCCAGGACAGAGACTTTCGGGAGAGAAGCCAAGAGAGGCACTTGCTGCACTCAG